ATAAAAAGTATTTTTAAATAAAATACAAAAAAAAGTGTATAAAAAGTATTTTTAAATAAAATAGGGACACCAACGTACGCATTTATTTGTTTCATAAAACAATGATTTTTCCATGTGAGAAGGAATCTTTCCCTCATTGGACAGCTCAGGTACGACCTGGAGAGCGAGAACAAGGACTCACTCCTTACCCTACACGTGTCCAAAACCAACCGCTCAGATTATAGGCGTTCCTGCTATATAAAAACAAAAGGTTCTGACAGAGAGGCCATGCTCTGGAGATCCATTCAATCAAACACAGATTACCCCATCTCTCTCTCTAAATTGCTGTATAGAACAAAGCTCCTCCTTCCAGATGCCTTTGTGAATTGAAGCAGCAGCCATTGCAGAAAGAAGTAAAGAGAACTGGAATTGGAAGGTGCAATGGATATGTCAAGAGTTTGCTTCTTAACAGCCCTTTTTGCTCTTGTCATGTCATTAGCCATTCCTTCAGCCAATGCCCAGGCTCCTGCCCCTGCTCCCACTAGTGATGGTATGCTTCTTTCTTCTTCTCTTATTTCTTTGTGCATTATGAATTGATGATAATCAGTGGTTGTTAGAGAGAGTGACATGGTTGTTTATGCATAAGGGACAAGGTTGTTAATTGGATTCAATCTCTACCATGAGATTTGTTGATAAAGTAGAAATCTCCTCAATTCATCTTGTAAAGGGTTACATTATGAAAATTTGAATCATTCTGTCATTATTTGGCCTAAATGCTTGATGACATACTGAACAACTTAGGATCTATTTGGGCATATTACAAAGGCTAATTCTGGACATACATTTGGAGGTCACTTTTGAGTTACTCCTCCACTGAAAATTTCAGCTTTGGTTTGGCTTTTTAAAAGCCTGAAATTGATTAAACAGCCGAAATTTATGCCCGGAAAGTGTTCGTTAATTGTTTTAGCTGAAATAGTTGTTTGAGTATATAATAGGTATGCAAACCAAGTATAAAGGGTTAAAATTGTATTCTTGAATAGACTATATGTGTAACTTTACTAAATTTCATCAAAAGAAGTAGCTTTGTTGTTACATATTTGGGTGAAAAAGCCTAAAGCTGAAGCAAGCAAACCATATAAGCCTTGTTTGGTGTAACAAACAGATGCTAAACCCACAATTTGGGATTTGTTTCTTTGTATTTGTCTTTGAACTTGGGGTTATCTGAAAGTATGATAAGGATTTGAACTTTGTTAGGCCTTAAACTTATGGAGATTACTATGTGTTTTGGCCTAACCCTACCAAATGGATATGAATTTGCAGGGGTAGCAATTGATCAAGGAATAGCATATCTTCTTATGCTGCTGGCTTTAGCTATTACATACATGATTCATTGATTCATATTTGTAATTCAATTGGCTTTGGCTGTTATTATGGTAGTTCTTTGTATAAAAACCATCATATTCTGTTTCCATCCCTCCTAATTTCTTGAGTTCATTCCAGCTTCATTATGGTGGAGGAGTTCTTTATATGTTTGTTCACTTCACATTATTTGCCTAATGTTTGTGCTACTTGACCACACCTTATCTATGAAGGTATTAAAATTCATATTTTGAAAAATATTACTCCGTAATAAGTATCTCTCAATGAAAATTCCAAAATATGATATTTTATAATTTTCCAACTAACTAATTAAATACATTACTCCGTACTAATCAAAGTCATTCATGTATAATACTCGTAGATGTAAATTTCAAAATCTTGCAACTAAATAAAAACAGAGGCAGTTACTCCGTATTACTTACTACCTCCATTCAAAATTTGTTTGTTAGTTGTGACTACCATATAATTGACTAATACGTAGTATAAAGTATATTTTCACTAAAAAATGTTTCAATTGAACAGTAATAACATTAAAAAAAGCTATTACAGTAATAAAGATTTACATTATCTAAAAACTATACTAAAATATTGGTTGAGTTCCAAAACCTATTCCAATATTATAAAACGTTTATACGCAAAATACAACATCTGTCCCGTTTATAAACCGTTATGATTCTTCCAAGGCTGGAAACTGCAGATACTTGAATGATTACCTATCAGCCCTCTCAGGCTTCTTCAAAATCTCAGATTTGAAGACCTTTTGCACGGTTAATCATTGGTTTGGCTTTACTGTTGAAATACTCACACATTTCATTTTCTCATGGGAGGGGCTGACATCGTCTTCTCTGTTCTCTGTAATCTCTGAAGCTTGGAAGGTCTGGAAGAGGGTTTTGAATCCTTGCCGTTGCCTTTACAGATTTAGGAAGCACAATCAGGCATTATTTATTCAAATACTACGTACGTAGTATAAAACAAGAATTGGCCAACCTGGAAAAATTATGTCAACTAGAATGCTTCTTTGGCCTTTAGAAACATCAAGGGTATGAGCATCTCAAATTTATTTTTTTAAACAAGACAAGTATAGGGCGGGGAGCTCTCACACTTAAGAAAGTAGGGTATTTTTTTATTTTTCTTAATGTAAATAATAAACTTATAAACCTTTCAAAAAAAACTTATAAACCCTACTATCGGTCACTTATTAATATAATGCATCATCAATGTATCTTTTTAAACGAGAGTGTACTGATGTGAATAAGAATGTGTACCCCAAAAATTATTGATTTAGGTAACATGTGGACGGTTAAATCGAGGTAGCGGATTTATCAATTTATACATCATGTGACTAGTTTGGTCACAATTGCATTGCATATTGGTTCAATGGCATGGGGCACATGCTTCTAGTCTTCTACTAGAGCTCTCTTCATTTTTGAAAAAGAAATTGTTTAAAAAGTACTTGTGACATGTCGACATTATCTACTAGAGCTGTCTTAGTTCGATAATGAAATGTTTCAAAATTGTACTTGAGACTCATTTATAACCTCATTGCCGCTCGACGTATATTATCAACTTGGTGGGAACTGGTGCACCACAGAAGTGCCAAAGTATTCTACAATTAAAAAGGACGGTTAGTTAATTAAAATGTTAAATCCATACGTCCCCTGTCCCCTCCGCTAGACCCACCGGAGTAAAAAAAATACATACCTATATACTTCTTCCGTCTCCCTGTAATTGTCTCATTGACTATTCACTTGGTCAACACAAATGAATAACAGGGGACGGTCCGGACGGAGGTAGTAAATAAGATTTTTTTTCTTGGAGGGTCAAAACTCCATCCATCTTCTCCCCATCTCCACCACTAATGCGACTTAAATATATCTATATGACTTCAATACTCAATCAAATTTTTAAACAAACACTAAAATGCATAAAAATTGATGCTTTTAATATCAAGTAATTTATGAATGTGTCTATTTTTCACTCCATAACTTTACTTATTTGCAGATCTGGTCATGCAATTAATAATTTATCTACATTAAGGACTTCTCTACTTGAATCTAGTTTTTATGACAAAAAATGTGACATGAGTTACAATTTTTCATAATTATTGCATCGAGTTTCATTTAAAAATGATCTACAACAGGACAAGATGTATTAGATCGAAGGAAACTATAGCTTCAATTATGAAGGTATATATAGCGAAAAGGAAACTATAGCTTCAATTATGAAGGTATATATAGCGAGCTCATACGTTGTTTTTACTTGGACTCTAATTCGTCCCAGACCAGACCAGATCAAAACAGACCAGATCAGACCAGATTAAAACAGACAAAACCAGACCATATTTTATTATTATTATTATTATTATTATTATTATTATTATTATTATTATTATTATTATTATTATTATTATTATTATTATTATTATTATAGAAATGGCATTTTATTAGGATAAGAAAAGAGAAGGATTACAAGGAACAAGTTGGGAGCCGAGCAACAAGTTGATCTCCAAACCGGACCGGACCATACCGAATCGAACCGGATATCATTCCGGTTCGAGCCGGTTCCGGTTTTTCCGGTCCGGTTCGGTCCGGTTTTCCGGTTTAAACTGGATAGTGCATGCCCCTTATTATTATTATTACTACTACTACTACTATTATTGTTATTATTATTGTTATTATTATTATTATTATTCCGGTTTGATATGGTATATATGTTTTGTTTTAGTCTGGTTTGGTGTGGTCTGATCTGCTTCGGCCTGGGATTGAAATCAGACCAAGTAAAACAATAACAATTTTCGATAATTTGGAAGGAATATTATTATTTTTAATTATAAATGAATAAAATATAATTAGTTATGGATTATAAAATATATATAAAAAATAAAATCTTTATGCAAAAAAATATAAAAAATTAAATATCAGACCAGACCAGACCAGACCAAAACAGACCAGACCAGACCAGCAAATTACAGTCCAAGTCAGGGGCGGACCCACCCTAGGGCTAGGGGGTGCCCGTGCCCCTGCGGTGATTTATATATATATGTATATATATTAGAAAATTCTCAGGTCCAGAACCTCCCGGTCCGAACGCCGTCCGAACAACGCCGTTTGGAGCGGTTCCAGGTGGAATTTTTTGATGAAAGTTTTTGAGCATGTTCCTCATCAAGTCTAGTTTATCCATACCAAATTTCAGGTCAAAATTCGACCGGGAAGGCAGTCGAATAATTCGTTGAAGTTAACTGCGTTTTTCTATGTATAATTTGGCACAGTTAACTTCAACGAATTATTTGACTGCCTTCCCGATCGAATTTTGAGCTGAAGTTTGGTATGGATAAACTAGACTTGATGAGGAACATGTTCAAAAAATTTCTATCAAAATATTCCGCCGGGAACCGCCCCAAACGCCGGTGTTCGGACGGCGTTCAGACATAAAAGTTATGCCGATTGAGACTTATGATGTTAATATTAGAGATGAGTTGAGGAGACGTTATTTGAGAAAAGGTCCTTGCCAACCGCGTGACTTTAAATTTCCACAAAGTGATTTTAATGGGTGCAACAGATCATTCCGAAAACAGTGGTTTTATTTAAATTTTATAGTTTTGTTTATTGCTATACTCGTGATGCATATGATTTTTTTCTAGACTAGTATATCATTTCTTTGTTATTGTGCCCCTGCGAGTCACGAGTCCTGGTTCCGACACTGGTCCAAGTAAAAACATCCATAGTTTCAATTGTTAAAAGTTAATGTACAATAGTTCATATTATTGTAATAAATTTTCCCGAGTTCTTCTTAAAATGTTTTTACATGGACTGGAATTTTCTGATCTGTTATAGTCTGAACTGGTCTGATAAGTGTTTGGTCTCTGTGTATTTTATAATTGTCCAAGTGAAAACATCTTTAATCAACGATTTAGAAGATGAGATTCTAAATCCTAATGTAGTGATAAAACAGGGAGAGTGAGAAGTTCAAAATGGTTTCAATATAATTTGAAGTTTTCATTTCCGACACTCCAAATAAAGACTGGCTCAAGTAATGACTTACAATTACACCAAAAGTGTTTAGATCCTAATAAGTAGACGTTAAGCTAACACAAGCAGGCTAAGTCTAAATAGCAATTGCTTTCTGCAATGCAACAAGTTCTTCTTCATCATCATCCTTGTCGTTTCGGAGATCAACTTCAGAAGGCCTGGTTGATTGTCTGGTGGTTAGATTACGCGGTGGAGCAGCACGGCCGGTGTTTGCAGGCTGAAGAAGCTCATCTTCCAGTCCAGCACTTTCTAGTTCTTCAAGCTCCGCCTCCAATTCATCCTGAACAATGAAAACACATGTATACAAAGAAATATGTGAATGAACATTTGTATCACAGTTTTCTTAAGTATTTTCGAAATGATACGATCATAATGTGATTATGTTACTAAAAGGATTATTAAAATGTCAATTCATTGTGAATTTGAATGTAATAATGGGTGATTGAAGTTACAATTATGATCACGAAATTATAAAAATGTTACATTTTTATCTGGTGTTTTCAATATTGTCATATATTCGTCATTATTTCTAGTTATATAGATATTGTTGAAAATTTAACAAGGATTGCGTGCGTATATGTAAGGAGAACCTCATCAATGTCAGCAAATGGAACAGCCAATGCTTCCTGTATCTGCCTTGTGTCCTCTGTTTGTTGATTTATTTCTTCCAATGTATTGTCCACATTACTCACATTCCTTCATGCACCATATATAACACGCATCTTAAGATGAAGTACTTACGAATACATGGCACAAAAAATATGTTTGTACACGCCTACTTGTAAATGCCCGTGACTTAGACAATTCACTTTTGTTTGTGTCACAGACAATTCACTTTATGATATTCGCGACATTCATATATAACCATAGTGGCTAATTTAATCACTCTCCCTTTAATAAAAAGTAAATTGTCTACTACAAAAATTGATAAACCGAATATAGGATGCCATAAATTGATAAATATGGAAATGCTCACATTGTTTTGTGGATAGATCTCATTGCAGCAGCACCAGTTCTAAGGGCCTCAACTGTTTCAGACGTGGCTTTTGCTCCTTCTATCATTATCATCTGAAAGCAAATCGATGGGGTAAATATATGTTCACTTGTTAAGCACATTTAAAATTCTTAACCAAATCTATATAAATTTGGTAATAATCCTTTTATGGAGGACATAATAAAATCCAATTTTAAAAAACTAAATGACCATTTTAATTTGACACATCTTTGTAAACTTTTTGGTATTATATAGATCTCTGTATATATCCAAATAGAGAACCTGATCATGGATGCGCAACTGGAAATTCCCTAGCTGCTCAATTTGCTGCTCAAATAGTCTTTTCCTTTTCAAGCATTGTTTTGCCGCTGCATGAACAAATAAATGATGGTATCATCTGCATGGCTTAGTTACAAATAAATAGTCTAGTTTTGTGTGTGGTCTAAATATTGAAGAGTTTCTAAACTAGAAGATTGTAGTTGTTTATGAAAATGGGAAAATGGAAACTAATAATCCAACCTTTTAGCGATTTTCTTACAATAGTCCCACCTTTTGATTATTCAGGAATAATCCAACCTTTGCACCTCATCTTCATTCAATGGTCCCTGACCGGTTGATGACCTGCTATTCCAAGTTATTTTCTTATCTTTGCAATATATTAGCAGGTGGGACTATTGTAAGAAGACCGCTAAAAGGTTGGATTATTAGTTTCCATTTTCCCTATGAAAATTGACCATTTGATTTAGCCTTGTTCAGTGTATTAAAGTGTTGCGACTAATTGAAATTGTAATCAACACTCAAAGAGATATACTCTCTCTCAGGAGCAAGCTTACCTTCTAAAAGAAGATCTTAAAATTTGAAATGGTTCAAAAAGAGTGTTGTACTAAACATACAAATGAAAACAAGGAAACGGAATTGGCCTAAACATAGCTGGAGTAAGAACGTTTGAAAATTCCAAAGTATGAGTATTGTATTTGTATACCCTAAATACGAATAATTATTGTCACACTTGAAAAATACTCTCATTTTCGGCAGCATAATAAGTACTATGTTTAACGCTTGATAATGTCAAAAAACATGACACTAAATTTTCTAGATAGCAATAACGTATTTCTATTTAGGGAGAAAACATGACACTTTTATTTTGGAATCTTCTCTATATACGATTACGGAGGAATCTTCCCTATATTGTGCACACTAACCTAATTGCAAGTCCTTAGATTATTTTTCTAGGCGCTCTAAATTTCATTAAAATCCTCAACAAGTTGCAAAGGTTTTCTTAGACTTTAAAACTGTAATTACGGATTTTTGATCTATCGAAATAGTTTCTCTATTCTTTCGGATTTAGCAGTAGAGGAAAGCTAGGCAACGATCTCATCCTCCCCAGAACCATAATTCCAGTTGTGACGCGTTGTGTGCTTTTAAGCAAATTTATTTAGGTGCATCATAACAAAAAGTGGAAATTTAATTTGGGTATGGAAGAAATATGGGAAAATATGATCTTGCACCTCATCTTTGGATGATATTAGATTTTGTACTTTGTTTTAAGAAAATTAGTGTGTGTACCACAGTACACAGTGCATCTGTCACGCGAAAACTCATGAAATTGTTAAATTATTTGCTCAAATGGAAAGTCATGAGACAATAAAACACCATATAACATTTTGGGTTACTCCTCTTATCTGGTAGACCTTTTAGAAGTAATGAAACGACGATTTTATAATAGAATCAGATCGGTCATGGTCGAATTGCTCATGGTTGGATTGGTCATGGTTGGGTCATGGACGGGTTGGTCACGGTCATTTATTGGTCACTGGTCAGATTGGTCAATCATGGTAAATGGACGGGTTGGTCACGATCGTTAGTTGATTTGGTCACTAGTCGGGGGTTAGTCATCGCTTGAATTGGTCACTATTCGGATTGGTCATTGTCACTAGTACGTAGGAGTTTAATCTCATTTTTGGAATATTTTAAAAGTGGTCCTATATTTGTCCAAATGATTTACTTTTGTACAAGTACTCCACAAACCCCACAAAACAACACATATCATAAAAAAACACAGATCAAATATATATCCGCATTGCAAGATTACACCAAATACCTCTCATGTTCTTAATTCTTGTGAATTCTTTGGCCCTTTCAAATTCTTCGGATGCCTTCTTTTGGAGTAGACTCTCCTTCTTCTCCAGCATCGTCAGTGTCTTTATATTCAAGTACAAAATGAATAACAAACAAGCGATTTAATTAATTATATATACGTAGTATATATAGACAATAACCAGTTGAGTATATATGATGATTGATATATGTAGTTAATTAATTACCTCGGTTAATTTAACAATAGTAGTAAGGCTGCCTTCATTTTGGGCGTTCTTATTCGGTTTATTCCCGAAAATCCGTGAGAACATCTTCAATTCTCTGCTGCTTCAGGAACGCATTTATGGTTTTATTTCATTCGTCCGCGCGCTATAATATGTGCGTACAGAATTAACGTTAATTATTCTTGAGAGGGTAATATATTATGATGGATTAGGGCAGATCCAGGATATAGAGAGTTGGGACTGACGTAACTCTAGTTTAGTAGGACTCTGGAATACTAATTTTGGAAGAATATAGATAATAATAATGTCGTAAATGCTAAATGTTAAAGGAATTTTGTTGAATTTTATGTAACCCTAGTAAGACTCTTTGTCCTTTTCAATTCTTTAAATAAATTTATGGAATTTTTTCAATCCGGGACCTAAAAGATAGACGGACTATCAATCCGAGACTCGAAAGATGAAATGTATTAGTATAGGACTCGAAAGATGAAAAACTATCAATATATATATAGGACATAGCATTTCATAGGTTTTTATTTATTTAATTTTTTTATTAATTCCATTGCTAATATTTGGTGAAATTTTTCTTCACAAAAGTTTATTAGTTTGATAAAACTTAATATTATTTAAATTTTTTAAAATAAACAAATAATAAAATCTATGAAAACTTAGGTCCTAAATTGATAGTTTTCAATCATTCGGGTCCTAGATTGATAGTTTCCCATCATTCGGGTCCTATACCGATGCATTTCATCTTTCAGATTCTGAATCGATAGTCCGTCTATTTTTTAGGTCCCGGATTGATAAAATTCTTGAATTATATTTAAAATTAAAATGGCTCCTTAGAAGTTAGAACTGCACACACCACACCTCCCATACGAACTTAAGAAATTTTAATCAATTTTAATTAAATCTACAACGAATATGTTGGTGCCATGTGGCATTGAAATGTTCTTTATAAAATATCATAACTATTTTTATTTGTATTTGAAACTTTTTTTAGCGGTCTTCTTACAATAGTCCTACTTTTTCATTATTCATGAATAATCCAATATTTGCACTCCATTTTCATTCACTAGTCCATGACCGATTTATGACCTGGTATTCCAAGTTATTTTCTTATCTTTGCAAAACATTATGTGATCATAAGGTGAGGAGGAGGAGGAGGAGGAGGAGGAGGATTATGACCTGTTATTCCAAGTTATTTTCTTATCTTTGCAAAACATTATGTGATCATAAGGTGAGAATTATGGTATAATGTTTTACAAAGATAAGAAAATAACTTGGAATAACAGGTCATAAATCGATCAGGGACCAGTGAATGAATATGTAGTGCAAAGGTTGAATTATTCATGAATAATGAAAATGTGGGACTATTGTAAAAAGACCGCTACAAGGTTGGATTATTAATTTCCATTTCTCTTTCTCCTTCTTGTTCAATCTCTCCTAAATTATAGGATATGGGTATGATATTATAGAAAATACTAAAATAGATTTCATTTTAAACTAAAATTCACTATTCTTAGTTTAATTTAGGATGTTTTTAATTGGATTGATATTTTCTAATGTGCTTTAAATATGGTATCATTTATTTAAATCCTGGTGTGGTCCAAATTGATCACATTCGGATAGGTAGATGTATTTTTTTGTTTGTTTTATAACTTTGGAATTCTGATCTTGTTTGTTCTATTCTTATCTATTGTAGTCGGTTTAAATCTGTTTAAATATGATCAGATTTAATACTGAAAACAATCCAACTAAATACATAATATTTTCTTATACTTCAACAAAGGTTTGAACTTTGAAAAATTGTGAGGCATAAATTTAAATGGTGAGACCATGATAAAGCTGGAGTCCGATAGCGTGGAAATTAAAAACCATTACTAAAAAACTTAGCTCGTATTTGACTCGGGTTGTGTCTGAGATTCCTTCATTAAATTTATGAGTAACTATTTTGGGTTTAATGCATCAAACTCATGAAATATAAATTCGGCCCATTAGTCTCTTGTGATTTAAAAAATGCATCAAACACCCTTGTGTTATAATTAATCAAGCACAAAACTCCTCCAAGAACAAGTTTAATTTCCAAAAATTTGAAAAATGATTAGTCTTTTTTTTGTATAATTTAGAACTTTTGACAAAGTTATTCTTGGAGGTGATTTTGCGCATGATTAATTATAACACAGATGAGTTTGACGCATTTTTTAAATCATAGAATGCTAATTGCGCCAAATTTATATTTCACGAGAAGGTTTGGTGCATTAAATCCAACGATTTATGACTCGAATATACGGAGTATATCGGATATCCAACTTGCACCTATTTAGGCCTGCCAACTTTTGGCTCGTGTTTTGAACCGTACCAAAGCCTCACATAAGTTTTTTTTTAGCAGAAAGCCTCACATAAGTTAATACTCTTAATTGGCCCTGCCCCTGATTCAAACCAATACCATCAATCATCGTGCAAATTAAAGTACCCTATACTCTGTGCAAATTAAAGTACTCTGTACTATGGGGAATAGGAATGGACTGGAGGGCCGGACCGGGGTATTAGGGGCAGACTTCCGGCTGCTGAAAAGGTGGACCGGAACAAGAAGACCTTACAAAAACATCATCAACCCATTAAAATAAAGCAATCAACATTTCATTGTTGGTGTCTGTAATTTCTCACTACAAATAGTTTACTTTAATGGATCCGATGGTACAATAATAGTTTGATAGTTTTATGACATATTATTCGAAATAGGACTAAAACAGTTTTCAAATTCAAAATAGGACTGTCATGTTTTTATTCCCAAAATATGACTAATTACTGTTATATTTTGACAATATTTGACTTCAAACATATCAATATTTTCTAAACATGACATTAATTAGTCCTATTTTGGGAATAAAAAACATGGCAGTCCTATTTTAGAATTTTGAAACTGTTTTAGTCCTATTTCGGGAACTTTCCCTAAGTTTATTTTAGGGGTGGACTCGGGCCGAGCCAACCGGCCCGGAACCGGACCGGTCCGCTACTGTGCGGGCCAAGACCAGCCCGGTGAACCGGTTGGCTGGCCAGTTCGGGCCACCCAGCCCGGTGGGATCTCGGTTCGGGCTCGGGCCCTTCAAAAGGTGAACCGGCCGGTTCGGGCCCGGGCCGGGCCAATTTTTTTTTTTTTTTTGAATTTTTTTTAAGTTTTTGGGTTAGGCTGGGTATTTTGGGCCATTTGAGGTGGTTAGGGTTGGTTTGCGGGTGAGGGGGAGGGTTGGGGGTTAACTACAAAAAGCCCAAATATATATATATATATATATATATATATATATATATATATATATATATATATATAACCGAGGCCCGGCCCGGCCCGGACCCGGGGGTTACCCGGGCCTCCCATACCTTGAACCGAGGCCCGGCCGGTTCAAGGCCCGAACCGGGCTCGGCCCGAACCAAGTCAATCCCTAGTTTATTTACCCCGTGAAGTAAAGCAGTCAAGTCCTGTAAAGGCTGTAAGTAGGGGTGGATTCGGTTCGGGCCACCCGGCCCGTGACCCGGCCCGGCCCGGCCCGGCCCGGTACTGTGCGGGAGCGGGAACGGCCCGGTCGAGCGGTTCGGGACCGGGTGTAGACCCGAACCGGTGGGAATGGGCGGGGCGGGCACGGTTCCGGAAAAATGTGACCCGGCCCGGCCGGGTCGGACCCGGGCCCGGGTCCGGGTCCAACGGTCCTATTTTAAAAAAAATTGTTAAATTGCTACTAGCCGTTATGGGTGGGCTGGGGACAACCGAAACGTCTATATAGCCGTTGGGTGGGGTGCAGGGGGGTCCAGGGGGTTGGGTGGTGGGGGTGGTGGTGGGGGGTGGGGGGTAAAAAAACCTATAAATACTCCTAATCTTAAACATTTTTTCATATCTCTTCTCCAATTCTTCCTAAATCGTATTCTTAACTCTCTAATTCTCTTATTCTCCATTCTCCAATATATTATATTTATTATTTATAGTTTATATTAATTATCTACTTATATATACTATAAATAGATATAAATAGTATTATATTACTTATATTTGTTATCTAATTATATATTACTTATATATTTATTATATCTATTAATATAGTTGGAATTATATCTAATTAATTTGAAGTCATTCTATTACTCCCATCCGAAAGACCGAAAGTCCGAAAGAGGTACGAAATTATTCTATTATTTACACTTGTTTAATTTTGTATTAACGTTACTTGAAAAAAAAATAGTTAATTAGGTTGTACAATTTGCTATAACTCTAATTAATAGTTAGATTAATAGTTAATTACTTTATTACAATTTTTTATTAATTGCTAGTTGCTACATTTGACTCTAGCTTAAAAAACTAGTTGTAATTCTAATTATAGTTAAAGTGTATTAATTTCATTGTTAGTAAAAAATATATATTGTACACAAAACTAGTTAATTCACTAGTTAATTTGCTATAACTCGAATTAATAGTTAGATAAATAGTTAATTACTTTTTTACAATTTTTTATTAATTGCTACATTTGACTCTAGTTTAAAAAATATGTTGTACGCAAAACTAGTTAATTCACTAGTTAATTTGCTATAACTCGAATTAATAGTTAGATAAATAGTTAATTACTTTTTTACAATTTTTTATTTATTGCTACATTTGACTCTAGTTTAAAAAAATATGTTGTACACAAAACTAGTTAATTCACTAGTTAATTTGCTATAACTCGATTTAATAGTTACATAAATAGTTAATTACTTTTTTACAATTTTTTATTAATCGCTACATTTTTTAGATGGATCGTCCTAGATATTCGGTTGATATTGGTAACCTCGAGCGCAACCGAACGAAAGAGCTTGCGAGGAAGAGATCCCGCAAAGGTGAATCACATATCGGCTCTTCATCTCAATGTCGAGATGATTTTGATACGGGTTACGCAAGGAGGGATGGGGATGCGATGACCGACGAACAATTAGAACAAGAATTGCACCGACATAATTCCCGCTTTTTTCAAGACCAACCGAGGACCATTGACGAAGAAGAGCTCGAGTACGAGGACGACAATGTGGAGGAAGTAATTCCGGAGAGCCACAACGAGGAGGAGAACGAGGTTGAGCGCTGAATCTCTTGAGATGTTTATATGCTACCACGATCGGTTGAAAGCATTATCGGTGGGCGTAGCTCAACTGGTAGGAAGGGAGTGCCACAAGGGTTAGATCCCGGGTTCGAATCCTGGCAACTGCAATGAGGGGTTACTATGCTAAAAAATGCATAGGGCCTCTGTAAGTACCAGGGACAGAGCCCCACTCTCTATCTGTTAGATTGAGATTATACTCCAACTTACATCCTCCCAACGTACTGTCCGGTCGGGGTTGGTGGGCCCTCAGGGATGGGGTGTGATCCTTTTTTTTTGTTGAAACCAGCGCGTAGAGCTCAAGAAATTGACATCACCCCATCTCAACACTTTATGGATGAATCTACAACCGATGGTGGCTCTACCTATGCCGGAGATTCCGATTGAAATATTGAATGATTGATTAGTATTTCATGTTTTAAAAACAATTATAGTTCCTATTTAATTTTCAAATGTAGTTCCTATTTCATTTCAAATAAATGCACTTGAAGTTTGTTTTTTAATACTTGTATAAAAGTATAAAACTATAAAGTATAAAATATAAATTAAAAAAAAATAACCGACCCGGCCCAGCCCGGCGGGTGGACCGGCCCATGACCCTGGCGGGTGGCCCGGCCCGAACCGGACCCGTCCAACCCTCGGGCCGGTCCCGGGCCCATGTGATACGAACCGGCGGCCCGACCAGGCCTAGGCCCGGCCCGGGCCCGACCCAGCCCAAATCCACCCCTAGCTGTAACTCCTTTAAGGTACTCTGGCTCCAACCAAATAACTTGATGCTTAAAAACTAAAATGGATTTCAAGCAATGGAACGAATCAGACTAGTTTGAGACTTTGAGGCATACTGCATACATAGATTGAATTCGCTATGTATGCTGTAGCATCTATGTTCTGGTTTGAGGCATTCACGGATTCATAATAATTCAATTAATTCAAGCCAAGTAGCAAACCAATAAGAACTTCACCAAAATCATTAAGGTCAACCAATCCAACGAAATTTTAAAGATACAAGTTACGAGAACGTGCAGCAAAACATGGAATACAGATGCCCGGATGCATACTGCATACATAGATTGAATTCGCTATGTATGCTGTAGCATCTATGTTCTGGTTTGAGGCATTCACGGATTCATAATAATTCAATTAATTCAAGCCAAGTAGCAAACCAATAAGAACTTCACCAAAATCATTAAGGTCAACCAATCCAACGAAATTTTAAAGATACAAGTTACGAGAACGTGCAGCAAAACATGGAATACAGATGCCCGGATGCTGCAGCTACGGTAACAGAAATCCTCAAGACCTCAAACACAGCCATAACTTAAAATATTTGGAAATGCACAAGGCTCAAAAATAGAGAAATAAACTCATCAACATAATAGATAGAACCTATTGTATCATAAATATAATAACTATTTAAGAACCTTCGTAAGGTTGTAGACTTGTAGTATCAAAAAACAATGATCTCAAGACAGAAACAAAACACAGGAAGCCATGGTTCAGGTTAACTTCAAAAATGTTTTATGATAAAGAACATTCATCTGAATTACAAACTACTAATCAGAACCATTTTCAGTTCTTTACTTCTCTGATGAGTTTGGCCCTCTCTTCTTACCAAAGCCGACAACTGTAACAAAACAAAACAAAAAAAAAACAGTTAGAAACCCATACTAGACTTCAGGTAGATAATATTCATTTGACATGCAATCCAAAAATATAAATAAATGATCTTTAAAAGGAACACAAATTGTGCAAATAACTAGTATATTGTTTAATTGGGAACAAGGAATGGTTAGGGACAACAGACAAGTTGTTAAAGGAAATATTCTTTTAATGTACAACCATTAACATAAAGCTTAGAGGTAATAAGATAAATCTACATCTAATTTTTCAAAATATAACTGAATCATCAAATATATTTGCTCAGCAATCCTAGCTTCCTTTAAAATAAAACATCAAAGAAGCTAACAAATTGTATATTTCTTGCATAATGATCACTGTGGCTACTTGTCAGAGTTGATGCACTCGTACTAATATAATACTATAATATTGTAATGGTTCATATGGCTAACAAAGCAATGATATATCGTACAGAGTGCAATACTACGTAGTGTAAGATATTAAAGCAAATTATAATAATGTAAATATAATTAGTTTAATAGATAGTTTTACAAATTTTTAAATCTCCATAACTACCATATCTTTATTTAAGACAACATATTTCCTTGTGTACAGACAATTTGATCGGCTACAAAGACATATTGAGCGAAGATTTATGAAGAAAACCGATTTTTACACAGACAAATAAAAAAAGTCTTATCACATACACTATGAAAAATTCAGATCTAAAATGTTTGTGATGAAAACAAAGCTTTATATTTTTTCTGTATGTAAATCGATTTTCCTCATAAAATCGCAGGTCAAGCGTAGAATGAGAGCCAGAACAAAAAAATCAGGCGGGACTCGTGTCTAAAACCAGGAGATGTGCATAGAATGAGAGCCAGAACAAAAAATTACTGAGAGCCAATACATCCAATTGAAGGATCTAACATCGAGCCATCGAGAATATAAATGATGTACTCGGATTCAAGCGTAATACCACACCCAGAATAAGAATTGTTCAGAACAAAAAGAACACAAAAACTCCTTAAATTCGAACTAATTGAATTTACCTGCAGTAACGAAACGGCGATTGTACTGAATCCTCTTATGGGCACGGCCGCGGGGCTGCTTCTTCTTGTCTTGCTTGGCAACTTTGGGAGTCTGACCTCTCACCTTTCCAGCACGAGCCAAAGAACCGTGTACCTTACCTACAGTGATGAAAATCAAAATAAAAATACACGAAATATATAGCTAAAACTAAATTGTTGTTTATACGCTCACCCATGGTTTTGAAGTTCTCCGGTCGATGATCGAGGAAGTAGTAAGCAGAGAGACAAAGACGGCCGAATAGCTTCCAGGTTAGGGTTGAAGATAATATATTTATAAGGTTCTTATATTGGATCAAAATTATTTCAGCCCATTTGGTTTTAAATAGGCAATTTGTGGCCTATTACGTTTAGAGGCCGTCAGGTTGTCCATTTTTTCGTTTTATCATCTTATCAATCAGATTTTTAACAGTTATTTTTTAATTCTCGCGCTGAATTCTATAATTATAAGAAAAGTAAGATTGAAATTATTTTGTTGGCTACATTAACTGAAGTTACCATAGAGAATCATTTTAACTACTTTTTCATATAATTTCTTATTTTATATATTATTAACAAATATTTTAAATATAATTTTTTCATCGATCAGCAGAATCAATAAATACAGGCACTTCAGTCAAAACTTTGTAAATTTCAGCAGAATCAGCATATTCAGCCAAGTTTAGTATTACTCTCTCCGTCCCAATTTGATAGTCTCATTTCTTTTGGCCACAAGTTTTTATAAAGTGGTTGAGGTAAAAGTTGTGGTTGAGATTTGAGTATAATAATGTGAAATGATATGATCACGTCTTTCTTTCCAAAAAGGGAAATAGAACCATCATTTTGGGACATCCCAAAAAGGAAATACATGACTATCATTTTAGGAAAGAGTGGGTACCAAACAGGCTCTTAAATCGAAAGTTTTGTTTTGGGCTTTATAGAGCTCTCTTCTTCACTGGTTTGATCCAATATCAAGAACGGAACCACGTAGAGTGGAGGAATTAGGGCTCTCTTCTTCACTGGCCGCCTCCTTGGAAAAAGCTCTAAAGAGTAAAAATGGAGAAGATGAAATCTCAGAAGGAGGAGGTCGTTACTAAAGTACACCGTTAATTTATACAAATGCTTGCATGGATGGTGATAATTCAATGAACCCCATAAAAGCCATCAGGCATTTGAGGAACTCAAGGTATGATCTCCTCCGGTACTCTCAAAGCCGATGGCTGTGAGACGTTATACCTGTACCTCGGCGTGAGCACGTGGCGGTCAGTTCAGTACTCATCCGAGAGGAGGTCAGTGTGCATCATGCAATCTTTTATGTTGAAATAAATATAATTAAAGAATTTAATTCAAAATTAAATCTTCAATTCTTCAAAAATCCAACGTTCTTCGGATCTTCGAATTTTCGTTCTTGAGATCTTCGTTCTTTGGATTTTCAAATCTACTTGAATGCAGAATTCAGCTTGAAAGCCCTCTGGTTTTTAAGTAGTTTGATCTTCAACAAAAGGGCCGTTTTATGGCTTGATCTTCTGTTAAAGGGCTTACCGGGATATATGGTTTGATCTTCACTTGAATTTTGATTCAATATTTATATGAATATATTCAAGTTTTCAAAGATTCGTTCTTCATATCTTCGAATCTTGAAAGTCTTATTCTTCAAATCTTCGAATCTTCAAACTTCGTTCTTCAAATCTTCGAATGTTCTTCAACTTTTGGACTTACTAGATTCTCACCCGCGCGATGCGCGGAATATTAAAATGTAATAGTGATACGACATTATTTGTAATTGCTATTTGGCTAAGTGAAACGAAAGCAAATTGTCATACACTTAACACGTATACTAAATTATGATTTAAGATTGGATAACAAAGACTCAGAGGTAAGTAGTAAGTATATTTGGAATAAGTTGGAAAAAGTAAACGGTAACAGGACTTCACAAACTACACATTACGAAAAACTTCCTTATAAACTACATTGGTGGTATGGTTAGTTGATTGACCGTCTTCATCGCAAATTAATATCTTCAGACCCTTAGGATTTGTTACCCTTGACACTGCAACATACAGCTGACCATGCGTGAAGACCGACTTTTTCAGTAAAAGTCCAACATGAGACAAAGATTGTCCCTGACTTTTATTTATAGTCATCGCATAAGAGGTCATGACCGGAAATTGTCTTCTCTGAAACTTGAATGGTATTCTTGAATCCGAAGGAGTTAAGCTTAACCTCGGAATGACAACTTCATGCCCGGCATATTTTCCGCCCATAATTTTTGCCCCTAAGATATGATTTCCAAGTCTTGTAACAATTAACCTTGTTCCATTGCAAAGCCCCATGGAAGGATCAATATTCCTTAAAAGCATTATTGGAGTACCAACCTTTAGGGTCAACTCATGGTTTGGGACTCCGGATGCACGTATTTTGTTTAGAAACTCTGGAGTATGCAAATCAGCCAGAAAATCGGCATTCGAGTCTGACTTGCAAATGCTATCTGAACTTAGATATGTCCTTGACTTTTCATTAACATTCATAGAAGTCATGTATTCATTAACTGCATCGATACATCAAGGGTTGGAGCTAGAATTGCGCGCTCTTGCAAGTAAGTCGGGTCATTCACAATACTCTCAAAGTTTGGGTAGGTGTTTTGGACAATAGTGGCAATGGGGTCGCTTCCACACTCTAGCAAAAACTCGTTTGGAATCTGAACATTAGCAAAACCATCATTATCTTCCCCAACAATCCCGTCCCCTAAACTCGCAATCCACTTAGCAAACTCAAGCAAATCTTCGTACTCACGATCATCAGTCAATGATTGCAACCTCATGTTCTTTGTCAAACGTAATACCAAGCACTCATGCCAAATATACGAAGAATTAATCGTGGCATTCACAATGTCTTGTCTAGTACCTTTAGTAACGACAGGTAAAATTTGTCTGAAGTCTCCCCCGAAGACCACTGTTTTCCCCCCAAAGGGTTTTTCAGCACTATTTGTATTAGTGAATCTCAAGATGTCCCGCAGACTTCTATCTAAGGCTTCGAAGCAATACTTGTGCATCATCGGCGCCTCATCCCATATGATCAGCTTGCATCTAATTATCAATTGAGCCAGTGGACTACCTTGTTTGATGTTGCATGTGGAGTTTTCATTTGGGTTGATTGGTATTGCAAAGCGTGAATGTGCCGTCCTACCACCCGGTAACAACAAAGCTGCTATGCTGCTCGAAGCAACATTTAAAACAATTTATCCTTTGGACCTCAAAGCAGCCGACAACGTCTTCCACACAAATGTTTTCCCTGTACCTCCATAACCATATACAAAGAACACCCCACCATTATTTTGTTCAACAGATTGCATAATGGTTATGTACACTTGACGTTGTTCATCATTGAGACTCTGCATGCATCTATCATGCTCTTCACGCAGGGCAGCACGATCGTACTGTAACTCGTCCAAAATAAGCCTGTTCTGATACATGGTAGCATCACTTATCGTTGGAAATGGCATCGATGGATAGTCCTTTAAAGTCCTACCAATTCTCCTTAACATCATTTCTATTTCAGTCAATGCATAATTCTTAATCTCAGCCTCGGTCAACTTCAAATCTGATATTACATGCATCAAAACAGTCATATCAAATAACATGTGTAATATATTATGTAAGGTTTTGAATATCAATACATATATGTATATATACATATTTGTTTGTAAAGATATATGTATATGTAATATATGAACTGTTTAGTACCTGGATGCATTAAGACTCTTCTTTGCCTGTGTAGAATGTCATCTGACATAAATGTCCAACATTTGTCCCACACATATTCTGGTCTACTCATTGTATCAGCTGATAATAAAATGGCAAACAACTTTCTGAGTAACCATGCAGTAGCCCAATAACTACCTTCTGAGAATCCTTCAACGTACTCCTTGTCATCATCCAACAACCCTAACGCGAAACACACATCGCGGTATGTATTGTGACTAATTCCATCCACAGTTCTAAGATCATCATAGCTTGTAGCCCCACGCCTCAAATTAAGGACACATCGCAAATAATAAGCTTCTCCTGATCCCGGAGGCACATACATTAGACGGCCTATGGCAAACCCCTGCTTCCGAGGTTGCCATTCTCTTGTTTTGGCTTTCCAAACAAACTTTTGAGGGAATTCAGCATAAGTTAAATCCCTTGCCTCAGGGTACTCGACATTTGCTCTCATCCATGCAAGAAACATACTCTCCTTGACAGATTCTCGCAACACGACTTCACTTACAATTGCACCATCTTCAAAATAAACATACTGCTCATTACGGAAGTGAAAGCTCAAACGTTCAACACATGGATTCTTATACTGAATTCCGAATCCAAAAATTCTCCACATTGCCTCACATGGAGAAATATACCGACAATCATAGTACATTTTTATTTCATCAACAGGTTTCTCAGTTTCATCTTTATCTGTTGTTTCATAAAATCCTGCTGTGACACGATCATTTCCTTTGTTCACGTATTTGAACAAATATTTTATTGACCTCGATTGATTGCACCACTCCACATTAAGATGAGCACCGTACCTCATCAACAATGTTCTGTTGTGGGGCACAACATATCTATTGTCAAGTGGTGTTTTTCCTTTGACAATTGTTCTGCCATCATTCCGCCTCCTATATTTAGGATAACCCTCTTCATCAACGTTAGTTTGCTCGTTGAAGTTCTTAGGGAAGTGCTTTGAACATTTGGACTGAACCATGCAAGGGGCGTTTCTTGCATCACTGCCACATGGTCCGTGCATCATATGTGTGCACACAGCTTTAAAATAATCAGGATCAGCCTCCTCATCAGGTATTTCAGCTGAAATTATGCAGTCAATGTCTGCTGGGGTGGGGAATTTGTCTGCATTCCCCATGAACAATAGAATATGAGCATGTGGTAGCCCACGCTTTTGGAATTCGATTGTGTAAATCACTGCGAGGAGTCAACATAACAATTATTTTTTTATCACACACACAAACAAACATATATATCTGTGTATTTATAAGAAGCTACACATGTGATGAACTCAATATACCTGCTCGAATTTGTCCAAATACTTTACTTTGTCTTACGTATTTGATCAAGTCATTTAGCTTCATCTTAAACACTCGACAAATTATATCTGGACGATCTTCGGGATTCAAATTCCTTGAAGAAAGGAATTTATTAATTTCAGGCCATCTTGGGTTACACGTGAAAGTCAAAAACAGATCTGGGTACCCTGCCCACCGACATATAGTCATGGCGTCCTGATAATTTTGAACCATGTATCAAGCGCCCCCAACGAATGTCGGTGGAAGGACAACTCGCTTACCCTGTGTTGACCTA